GGGGTGGGGTGGGATGGAATGTTGGCAAGCACTAAACATAAATCTATGATAAATACCTCTCGTACGGTGAACTGTAGATGCCTTCATCTTGATTTGGGTCATGCTGATCCACACTAAGAAAAAGTTAAGGAACAAATTTTAAAGTGAAAAAAAAAAAAAACCTTTGAAGAGGTGGAGGGTGAGGTCTGTTGAGAGGGGAGGGGAAGGGGGAGCAGTCGGTAGGAACTATGGCTTGAATCTATTTATGGTTTATTCAATGAAAGACTGCCGCAAAGAGAGCGAATTTAGTTTGGAAATATCCTCTTTGTCTTACGATATTTAACTTTTGAACGTTAGATTTGATGAATTATTTGGTAGTTTTGCTTTTTGATGGGTAGTTCACTTTTGATGAATGGGTATTTTACTTTTAATTTAGCTGAGAAACTCGGGAATATCCTTTCTCTAGTAAACTCCTGTTTCAGCGCAAGCTTCATAGTCATGAATGAGTGTGTCTCAGTAACGACATACGCTAGGGGCAATGTTGAGATGCAAAGTCCGTAGTAGGTACCCTACCTTTCGTACATGCCCGCATCAACTGTCTTCCCACTTTCAGCACTGAAAGAAGAAGGAAAAAAAAAACAGTTATAAATTGCCGCCAAAAAAAAAAGGATCTTCTTTTGCGCAGAATTAACAGAATGAATAATTATTGGCTTACCCGCCTGTGTAGAGAGGATTTTCACTTTCTCTGGTGGTATTTCTTTCGGAGGTACTCATGCTATCACTGTTGGTTCAAGACGAGATAAATTGGAAGAAACGATCGAATAAGAAGATGACTTAAGATTGGAAATTAAGAACAAACTTGAATAGAAACAGACGTATTTCTCTAAATTCGCCCGTAATCTTCAGAAATCATGATCAAATCGATAGCCTGTGAAGAAAGCCCTGGGGAGAGGAGGGGGGTTGGGGCGAGTGGAGCGAACGAAATGTGCGGATGGGAGAGGGAGGGCTTGCCACAGACCCCCACTGACCAACGAGATTTCCAATCTCGTATGGACGAAAAATTTCCATTGGCTGAGAGCAACTCGTTGTCAATGAACCCTCGAACTAAACAGTCTTCGTGGCGACTACCTTTTAGAAAATGGCGGAGGACGGTGATTCCGAGAAGTTCTGCCCTCAAGAATCGATATCGAAGTAGAATATTTGTGGCAGCCATTCACTTGTTTAAGCTCAGGGCCTTGATAAGAACGCCGTCTTCATTCTCAAACTTAATTTTAATTTTGTCCGTTTTCACTGCATTATTTGCAGTGGGGAAGGACTAGAAAGGAACATAGGAACCATTCGTGCTAGTCCACCAGGAATTTGCCAGGAATTTGCCAAAAATGAGACAATTTTCAATGGGAGAACTTTTGATTGGGCGTCTTAATTAGCAATTTAAGTAGTAAAGTAAAGTGGTTTTCTTTGGTTGAAAGTTTCTGTTCGGTTGCGCTTTTCATTAACCTTTTCATTATGATATTTGACAAGCCAGTTGCAATTGTTAAAGTTTATTTAACAAACTGGTGGTGACAAAGTGACAGTAATAAGAAATTAACATAAGGTTCCAGTATTTTGTTACAGGAGTTTGGTTGGGGTTGATCTGAGCCAGTTTAAATCGCAAACTCAAGTTTAAACTGCCACTTTTAGAGGGATTTCGTAATACAGAAGACAGGTAAGAAGTGATTTCATCTCTCTGAGTCAGCATATTTGATATCCCAAGAAATCATTAGATTTCCATGCATGCAGGTGATTTTAGTTATCAGTTTAGTTAACCAGAAGGCTCGTCCAACCCGATATTTATCACATCTTGCATGTGGAAATCTTCTTACTCTCCCAGGGGAACCAGACAATTGCACGGTCGCCCCTCGGAGTGGAGGACGACTTCATCATTAGCCAATAGAACTCGAGTTATAAAAGGCAAACTGCTTGAAACGGGGGAAACACGAATTTACAGAAAGGATTGATAGAGGGGATCAGTCATAGATAATTTTCGACACGTTTTGAAAAATATTTTTATTGCATTACCAGATAATTGAATTTGCTTTCTCTTCTCATCAGGACGGCCAGAGATATGGCATAGCAAACAAAATCTTGTCTTACTGAAAAAAGCGATTGCGTCTTCAACTGACAAAGGGTCGGCTAAGTTTGTGGTGGATGGCGATCCTGGGACTTGTTTCAGGTTCCACACGTGGAAAAAACCTCGGCTGATTTTGTATCTCGGTGATTTCCAACCTGTG